TATCATGCTGCAGCGGTTGAGGGGGTTAGGAATAGGGGGCACCGTTTTGCAGTGGTTCTTCTCCTTCCTCTCCGACTGCTCGCAGTTTGTGTTGGCAGGAGGGCAGAGGTCGACCTCAAGGCACGTCTCATGGGGAGTGCCGCAAGGGTCGGTCCACTCGCCCCTCCTGTTCAACATTTATGTGAAGCTGCTGGGTGAGATCATCCATGGTTTTGGGGTGAAGTGTCATCTGTACGCTGATGATACTCAGCTGTACATCTCCACCCCAGACCACCCCAACGATGCCCTTGATGTGATGTCTCACTGCCTGGAGGCCGTGCGGGTCTGGATGGGGAGGAACAGGCTCAGACTCAACTCTTCCAAGACTGAATGGCTGTGGCTTCCGGCGTCCCGATATAGTCAGCAGGTGCCATCGCTGACTATTGGGGGTGAATCTTTGCCCCCCACAGAGAGGGCTCGCAATCTGGGTGTCCTCCTGGATGCACGGCTGTCTTTAGAAGAGCATATGACGGCCGTAGCCAGGGGGGCCTTTTATCAGGTTCACCTGATTCGCCAGTTGCAGCCCTTTCTGGACCGGGACGCCTTGCACACAGTCACTCATGCCCTTGTCACCTCCCGGCTGGACTATTGTAATGCTCTCTACATGGGGCTCCCCTTGAAGAGCACTCAGAGGCTCCAACTGGTCCAGAATGTGGCCACGCGGGTGGTTATGGGCGCAACTCGTTGTGCCCACGTGACACCCCTCCTGGGTGAGCTGCACTGGCTCCCAGTAGTCTTTCGGGTGCGATTCAATATGTTGGTCACCACCTTTAAAACGCTCCATGGCATAGGACCCGGGTACCTTCGAGACTGACTTCTGCCACCAATAGCCTCCCACCGGCCAGTTCGCTCCCACAGAGAGGGTCTCCTCAGGGTGCCATCGGCCAAGTTATGTCGGCTGGTGAGACACCCAGGGGGAGGGCCTTCTCTGTGGGAGCCCCTGTGGAATGAACTGCCCCCGGAAATACGTAAGATCTCCGACCTCCGGGTATTTCGCTGTGCACTGAAGACCCTGTTGTTCCACCAGGCCGGGCTATCAACATAATAATTTTAAATTGGGGTATTTTAAATTTCTGGCATTTTAAATTGAGCCGAATTTATTTAATAGTTTTAAATTTTTAATTGATGTTTGTCTTGTGTTTTTAAATAGGCTGTACACCGCCCTGAGTCCTTCGGGAGAAGGGCAGTATAGAAATAAAATTATACTTATACTTACTTATACTTTACTACCGGTTCGCAACGGAGGGGTACGCAAGCACAGAAGCATTTTGATGACGTCAGGGTCAGTGGGCGGAGCCTCCCGCCGGTTTTCTATAGAATCGGTGCGAACCGGGGGCAACCTACCACTGCCTTAGAATGTTTACTGTTGACCTCACCCCATTTCTAAGAGGTCTGTAAGGGGCGTGCATAAGTGCACCAGCATGCTTACCGTCCCTGTCCTAATATTCCTTTTTACTTACTCTTTTCATGTATTCAAATTATGTTTATACTTTTACCTATTATCTTATACATGCTTGACAAATAAACTTATGATTATGAGATAGAAAATGAGAGGGGGGAAAGTAGATTAAATAGATGCTAGATGGATGGATGGATGGAGAGGAAGAGGGAGAGGGAGAGATAGGCAGGCAGGTAGGCAGGCAGGCAGACAGACCAACATTTACACTGCAAGCGTAACAAAGGCAGGATTCCTTTCTACTGTCCTTTCAAAGGCCACAAAAGAAAAAAAATCACTGCCCGAGAAACAGTCGCAGCAAATAATTAATATTTCCTACCATTTTCACTAAAGGACAACACTTGGTGGCCTCTCCCATTGGCTTTGAAACGGAGTCGAGTTTTACTCAACAATCCGAGAGAGAAAGAGAAACGGGCTGCAGCGTCAATCCGAATGGTTTTCATTTTTTTCTGCTCGGTTTTTTTTAAAAACAACAAAAACCATCTATCCATAAATAAAAATGAGACACTCACCGAACTTGCTGTCTCCCCAAAATAATTTCCAACCTGCTCGTCTTCGTCTCTACTAAATACTGAGTCACGTCCTCCCTCTGTGGTTTTTCAGCTGAAGTGATTTTTCGATGTGAACTTGCCGATTGCGTGCAAGAGGACTAGTTCCTGGCCTCGTAATTTAACAACCGGGTTTTATGGAAGTGGTCAAGGTTTCTTTGTTTTCATGAAAGGACACATCTGCTTTCTGATCCTCGGCGGGGAGTTCCTCGGGCTGTTTTACCTAGCATCACAAATGGGTTTTGCATTCTACCTATGGGCCCATTCCACCTATCAATCAAGTTGGAGTGGAGTTCAAACCAGCTGCCTGTTTGCATTTTCCAGGGTTCAAAGACCGAGCCGATGATGCTTCACAGGAGGTCTGTTGCAGCGTTGCAGCTGTCAAAAAAAGCCAACACAGTTCTGGGTTGTATTAACAAGGGGGTTGAATCAAGATCACATGAAGTGTTTAGAATAGAAATAGCATGAAATAGCATAGAATAGCACAGAACAGCACAGAACAGCACAGCACAGAATAGAATAGATATAAGAAAGGGAATGGGATGGGATGGGATGGGATGGGATGGGATGGGATAGAATAGAATAGAATAGAATAGAATAGAATAGAATAGAATAGAATAGAATAGAATAGAATAGAATAGAATAAGAAAAGGATAGGGTAGGGTAGGGTAGGGTAGAGTAGAATAGAATAGAATAGAATAGAATAGAATAGAATAGAATAGAATAGAATAGAATAAGAAAAAAAAGGATAGCGTAGGGTAGAATAGAATAGAATAGAATAGAATAGAATAGAATAGAATAGAATAGAAAATACGGAATGGAATGGAATGGAATGGAATGGAATGGAATAGAATAGAATAGAATAGAATAGAATAGAATAGAATAGAATAGAATAGAATAGAATAGAATAGAATAGAAAATACGGAATGGAATGGAATGGAGTGGAATAGAATAGAACAGAACAGAACAGAACAGAATAGAAAATACGGAATGGAATGGAATGGAATGGAATGGAATGGAATGGAATGGAATGGAATAGAATAGAATAGAATAGAATAGAATAGAATAGAATAGAATAGAATAGAATAGAATATATGGAATGGAGTGGAGTGGAGTGGAGTGGAGTGGAGTGGAGTGGAGTGGAGTGGAGTAGAGAAGAGTAGAACAGAACAGAACAGAACAGAACAGAACAACAGAACAGAATAGAATAGAATAGAACAGAACAGAATAGAATAGAATAGAAAATACGGAATGGAATGGAATGGAGTAGAATAGAATAGAATAGAATAGAATAGAATAGAATAGAATAGAATAGAATAGAATAGAATAGAGTAGGGTAGGGTAGGGTAGGGTAGGGTAGGGTAGGGTAGGGTAGGGTAGGACAGGACAGGACAGGACAGGACAGAATAGAATCGAATAAGAAAAGGACAGGACAGGACAGGACAGGACAAAATAGAATAGAATAGAATAGAATAGAATAGAATAAAATAGAATAGAATAGAATAGAATAGAATAGAATAGAATAGAATAGAATAAGAAAAGGATAGGATAGGGTAGAGTAGAGTAGAGTAGAGTAGAATAGAATAGAATAGAATAGAATAGAATAGAATAGAATAGAAAAAGAAAAAGAAAAGGGTAGGGTAGGGTAGGGTAGGGTAGGGTAGAATAGAATAGAATAGAATAGAATAGAATAGAATAGAATAGAATAGAATAGAATAGAGTAGGGTAGGGTAGGGTAGGGTAGGGTAGGGTAGGGTAGGGTAGGGTAGGGTAGGGTAGGGTAGGGTAGGGTAGGGTAGGGTAGGACAGGACAGGACAGGACAGGACAGAATAGAATCGAATAAGAAAAGGACAGGACAGGACAGGACAAAATAGAATAGAATAGAATAGAATAGAATAGAATAGAATAGAATAGAATAGAATAGAATAAGAAAAGGATAGGATAGGGTAGAGTAGAGTAGAGTAGAGTAGAATAGAATAGAATAGAATAGAATAGAATAGAATAGAATAGAATAGAATAGAATAGAATAGAATAGAATAGAATAGAATAGAATAGAAAAAGAAAAAGAAAAAGAAAAGGATAGGGTAGAGTAGTGTAGTGTAGAATAGAACAGAACAGAACAGAACAGAACAGAGTAGAGTAGGGTAGGGTAGGGTAGGGTAGGACAGGACAGGACAGGACAGAATAGAATAGAATAAGAAAAGAAAAGGATAGGGTAGAGTAGTGTAGAATAGAACAGAACAGAACAGAACAGAACAGAACAGAACAGAATAGAATAGAATAGAATAGAGCTGGAAGGGACCTTGGAGGTCTTAAAGTCCAACCCTCTGCACAAGCAGGAGAGCTGTACCATTCCAGACAAGTGTCCAGTCTCTTCTTCAAAGCCTCTAGTGATGGAGTACCCACAACTTCTGGAGGCATGTTGTTCCACTGATTAAATGTTCTGACTCTCAGGAAATTTCTCCATAGTTCTAGGTTGCTTCTCTCCTTGATTATTTGCCATCCATTGTTTCTAGTCCTGCCTTCTGGTGTTTCGGAGAATAGATTGACCTTCTCTTCTTTGTAGCAACCCCTCAGGTATTGGAACACTGCTGCCCCCAGTCCTTTTCACTAGACTAGACAATTCGAGTTCCTGCAACCATTCTTCGTATGTTTTAGCCTCCAGCCCCCTAATCTTCTTTGTTGCTCTTCTCTGCACTCTTTACAGAGCCTCTACATCTTTTTTTTTTTAATATGGTGACCAAAACTGGATGCCGTATCCTAAGCGTCATCCTACTGAGGCTTTATAAAGCAGCGTTAATACTTCATGTGTATTCCTTCAAAGGGAGGAAAGTTCTACGACAGAGAATCCATCCATGTCACATTGTCCACCGAGCCCTCTGGCAAACCGATTCTTTCAGTCCCCAAGTTAACTTGCCTCCTTCATGCATTAAGGAGCTTAACGGAGGCTGGATTACACATGGATTTTCTCATTTCGTTCCAGGAAGTATCTTAACGGGAGCGAGTTTGAGGAAGCAAAAGGCCAAAACCCTTGTGAGGGCCCAGCAAAAGGAAGGAAGAAGAGGAGGAAGAAGAAGGCGAATTAGTCGACATTCCCGAGAGACTGGATAGGGATCCACTCTCCGTCTGCGTGGAAATGGCAGGTGAGCCAATGAACATTTCCTTTCGATATATTGAATGAATGTTTCAGGTGAGCCAATTAGGAGGCATTCTTAACCTGTGATCGTCACAGGGGGTACGGGAAGGCTTGAAGAAATGCTGGGATTTAAATCTTGAGTTAAGTCTTGGGGGTCCATAGCAGGGGTGAAATGCTCCCGGTTCGGACCGGATCGCCCGATCCGGTAGCGATGGAGGCGGGTGGTTCGGAGAACCGGTAGCAAAAATCCCTGCCCCCCCCACATTGCCCAGCTGAGCCGCGCAATCATCAGAGGCTTTTTAAAAAAAAAACAAAAAACATTTTTTCTACAACCTCTTTGGCAGAAAAAAATGCTTTTAAAAGTAAAAAAAAAAAAGCCTTTGATGATCGCGCGGCTCAGCTGGAATCATCAGAGGCTTTTAAAAGCATTTTTTCTACAACCTCTTCGGCCGAAGAGGTTATAGAAAAAATGCTTTTTAAAAGGAAAAAAAAGCCTCTGCCGATCAGGCATGTCAGCTGGGATCGTCAGAGGCTTTAAAAACAATTTTTTTTACAACCTCTTCAGCCAAAGAGGTTGTAGAAAAATGGTTTTAAAAGTAAAAAAAAAAAAAGTTGGCCACGCCCACTCAATCATATTACCCCACCCCACCCCACCCCACCAAACCAAACCACGCCCATAGAACCGGTAGTAACAAATTTTACATTTCACCACTGGTCCATAGCCATGGTCCATGCCCACAAAAGATATTTAAAGGTGAATAAAATGTTGGGAACCCACTACATTAGAGGAAACTTAACTTTCTTTCCAAATTTCAGTTCTCTCTAGAAAATTGACTTTTGTTTAAGAACTGAGGATAGAGTGACTGTTTGCCTTGGGCTCGCTATAAATCCCAATCATGAGCCTCTTCACTCAAATTGATTTATTTTACTCTTGATCAAATAATGTCCCAGGAGTTTCTTTTTCTGGATTCGCCAGCTGGACAGTCGACACTTTTGACAAGCAAAGTCAATCCGGAAGCCACGATCACTTCAACCACCGTGTTGCTAATTTAACAACTGCTGGGGTTCGCTTAACAACTGTGGCAAGAAAGGTCATAAAACGGAGCATAAAGCTCACTTAAGAACTGTCTGAGTTAGCAACAGAAAGGGTGGACTCAATTATTGTCATAAATCAAGATCTACCTGTACAAATTTGTATGGTGTGTTTTTTTTTTTGCCTGTCTGAGTTATTCAGCTCTCTATAGTACCGTGTTTCTCCGAAAATAAGACCCTGTCTTAAATTTTTTTGAATCCCGAACTTGGCCTTATTTTCGGGGAGGTCTTATTATTTTGGGGTGCATGGAGGAAACCAGATAAAATGGCAGGGACCGGTTGCGTATGCATTTAAATATTTTGAGGGAGGGCTTATTTTCAGGGGAGGAGTTATTTTAGTGTATGCGCTCAAAAGCCCAATTGGGCTTATTATCAGGGGATGTCTTATTTTTGGGGAAACAGACTAATAATAATGAGATACATTTGTGAGACTGTGTAAAAAAGCAGAAGTGGCGGTTTTGGGCAATGTTTTAGGTCTATTTTCAGCTGCATTCCTACGGACTTTGTGAAATTACAACCCAACGATTAGTCAGCAGGCAGAAAACTGAGCCAGCCAATCTGTGCTGTCCTTATGGGAGAATCTTAAGGACAATATGGCTGACAAGCAATAGCATTTAGACTTATATACTGCTTTATATTGTTTTTATAGCCCTCTCTAAGTGAGTTACAGAGTCAGCATATTGTGCCCCCGACAATCCGGGTCCTCATTTTACCAACCTCGGAAGGATGGAAGGCTGAGTCAACCTTGAGCCTGGTGAGACTCGAACTGCCAAATCGCAGGCAGCCGGCAGTCAGCAGAAGTAGCCTGCAGTACTGCACTCTCACCACTGTGCCAACGTGGCTCATGCCGCGATGCCGTCCTTACAGTTCCATTACGGGAGGAGTTAAGGAAGGTGATTGGTGGATTCCCCTGGTTTTGTTTTTCTCTCTAAGTGTCCCCTAGTGGTGGGAGAAAGAACTGCAGGTAGTCCTCATTCAGCAATCATTCGTTCAGCGAATGAGTTCAAAGTTCAAAGTTATGATAGTACCGTATGAGCAGGCTTAGGACCGTTCTGGCATCCCCCACAGTCTTGTGATCCTGATTTGGGCGTTTGGCAACTGATTCATAATTACCATATTGCCAGAACTTGCAGTCACAGTATGGCCATTTGCGACTTTCACTCTTGACTTCCGACAAGCAAAGTCAATAGTGAAGCTGCTACATAGTTGCAAATAGCAATCACATGACATCACACCTAACAACTCTGAGGGATTTGTCAAACAACGGTAATTGGAACTATGGAAATTGCCACTGTAATCTGGCACAGTCATCTGACATTGTGCGTCTGTTAGTGACGGAGTTCCAATTACCGTCATTAAGTTAGGATTACCTGTACCACATTCCCTTCTGTTTCATCCCATGGTCTTTTTCATACCTGTCCACGGAGCTTTATTTGAATGTGGGTTTAGAATTCTTTCAAAAAACACTAAACCAGGGGTGAAATCCAGCAGGTTCTGACAGGTTCTGGAGAACCGGTAGCGGAAATTTTGAGTAGTTCGGAGAACCAGCAAATACCACCTCTAGCTGGCCCCAGAGTGGGGTGGGAATGGGGATTTTGCAGTATCCTTCCCCTGGAGTGGGGTGGGAATGGAGATTTTGCAATATCCTTCCCCTGCTATGCCCACCAAGCCACACCCACCAAGCCACACCACACTCACCAAGCCACACCCACAGAACTGGTAGTAAAAAAATTTGGATTTCACCACTGCACTAAACCCATGTTTAGAAACAGTCCAACTACTACTACTACTACTACTACTACTACTACTACTACTACTACTAATAATAATAATAATAATAATAATAATAATAATAATAATAATTTTATTTCTATACCGCCCTTCTCCCAAAGGACTCAGGGCGGTGTACAGCCTAATTAAAAACAGAATAAACATCAATTTAAAATTATTTAAAAATATTAAATAAATTTGGCTTAATTTAAAACCCCAAAAATTTAAAACATCCAATTTAAAATTATGTTGCTAACCCAGCCTGGCGGAACAATAGGGTCTTGAGTGCACAGCGAAATAACCGGAGGTCAGAAATCTTACGAATTTCCGGGGGCAGTTCATTCCACAGGGCTGGGGCTCCCACAGAGAAGGCCCTCCCCCTGGGTGTCGCCAGCCGACATGACTTGGCCGATGGCACCCTGAGGAGACCCTCTCTGTGGGAGCGGACTGGTCGGTGGGAGGCTATTGGTGGCAGAAGACGGTCTCGAAGGTACCCGGATCCAATGCCATGGAGCGCTTTAAAGATGGTAACCAACACCTTGAATCGCACCCGGAAGACCACTGGGAGCCAGTGTAGCTCACGCAGGAGGGGTGTCACGTGGGCGCAACGGGTTGCACCCATAACCACCCGCGCGGCCGCATTCTGGACCAGTTGGAGCCTCCGAGTGCTCTTCAGGGGGAGCCCCATGTAGAGAGCATTGCAGTAGTCCAACCGGGATAGAAGAGAATATTTGTAGCCCAGGATTGAACTGTGGGGTCCCTGAGCTTGGTTTTCTTGCAGACGTTTCATTACCAAATTAGGTAATATCATCAGTGCTACAATCTGGAGACAGTCCAACTGACGCATCACAGACGCATCCAGAACAGGGGTGTCAAACTTGCAGCCTGTGGGCCAGATGCACCATGTACTGGCCATGCCCACCCCTGGTTTAGCAAAGGGGGAAAAAGTCACGATACGTCTTGTGACAACAATGTGACGACACGAGTTTGACACCCCAATCTAGAGTAGTCTCTCTCACTTCACACTGCACCTATTTTCCAAAAACATTATGTTGGCATTAAAAGAGGGCAAATGTCTTTAAAATGAATGGGACCATAGTTCCATCTATATTGGTACTTCGGTATCCATTGTTAATTGGTTCCGGGAGGCATGTTGAGTACCCAAAACAATGACTACCAGACAATTTTTTCCCATAAGGAACAATGTAGTCACTCACAAGGCAGCCGACGCTGACAAGTTCTAGCTTATGAGTCGAGTACCAAACAAACAGTAAGTAAGAGCCTGTAGTACAGTGGACTAAACACTGTTATTAACAACTGCTGCTTGCAATTACTGCAAGTTCGAATCTCACCAGGCTTAAGGTTGACTCAGCCTTCCATCCTTTCTAAGGTAGGTGAAATGAGGACCCAGATTGTGGGGGCAATAAGCTGACTTTGTATAAATATACAAAAGTATGAAGGCTATTGCTTAATGCATTGTAAGCCGCCCTGAGTCTCCGGAGAAAGGCGGCATATAAATTAAAGCAAAAAAAAAAAAGAAAAAAAAAGTACCGGGACAAACTTTTTATGTCAAAATCAGTGGTGAAATGTAAAATTTGTTGCTACTGGTTCTGTGGGCATGGCATGGTGGGCGTGGCTTGGTGGAGGTGTCATGTGACTGGGTGGGTGTGGCCAGTGGTGGGTTGCCCCCGGTTCGGACCGGTTCTATAGAACCGGTAGTAAAAGTGGCAGGAGGCTCCGCCCACTGACCCTGACATCATCAGAAGCGATCTGCGCGCACGACCCCGTTGCGAACTGGTAGTAAAGCTAAGTAGAACCCACCCCTGGGTGTGGCCAACTTTTTTTTTTTTTTACTTTGTAAAAGCATTTTTTTACTACCTGTTCGGGCGAATAGGTAGTAAAAAATGCTTTAAAAAAGTAAAAAAAAAGGTTCCGATCGGGTGGCACAGCTGATTGACAATCAGCTGTGCTGCGTGATCCTTGGAAACTTTCTTTTTCTTTTTTAAAGCATTTTTTTACTACCAGTTCCAGCGAATAGGCAGTAAAAAATGCTTTAAAAAAGTAAAAAAAAAAGGTTCCGATGATCAGGCAGCACAGCTGATTGACAATTGACAATCAGCTGTGCCGCACGATCATCAGAACCTT